TTAACAAACAACCAAAATAAATCTTTACTTTAATAGTAGGTTATTAAGTTGATTAATAGATCAAACAATTTAATCTACTCTAATAATCTACTACCTTATTAATAAACTTTAATTTTTTTTCTACGACTCAGTGTAACTATAATATGGATATTTTTAAAGTAAAAAAAAATATAATATTGTAATATATATGATTTTAAAAACCTGAAATTTTAAATCTACCTCGAAGAAAACAGATACATATTAAAAAGTATTTTTATTTCTTTTTAAAAATTTAAAAATGCTTTATAACTTACTTGCTTCAATATTGTCATCATCTAAATAGAAAAACAAACAAACATTTAAGTCGACTCATTCTTAAATCTTATAATATATATGATTTTAAAAACCTGAAACTTTAAATCTACCTCAAAGAAAACAGATATGTATTGAAAAGTATTTTTATTTCTTTTTAAAAATTTAAAAATGCTTTTAACTTACTTGCTTCAATATTGTCATCATCTAAATAGAAAAACAAACAAACATTTAAGTCGACTCATTCTTAAATTTAGTTTAATTTCTTCAATAATAAAAAAAATTTAATCTTTGAGGATTAAATTCATTTACAAAAGTTCGTTTAAGTTCGTTTAAACCATTTTAATATTGTAAAGTTAATTTAAATTAACAAACATATAAATGCAATTTATAACATTTGTTAATAACAAAATGAAAGAAAACTTACTTCTTAGTAATTCAGCAACTAAAAATAAACATATATTTAAGAACTAACAATATAACATTATACATCTGTAACATAATACACTATCTAAATAAATACAAACCTTCATCTTCAATCTGATTCATTCTATTAATTCGATATAAAAAATAAAAACAAATATGCTTAAAAACAAATTTAATAAAGGTAATAGACATGTTAAAACATAAAAAATGAAAACGATTGAATTGATTATACTGAATATGACCTACTTGATAGGTACGATTAGATGTAAAAAAAAATTAAAACGAAAACGCGCTTTTTAAAATAAGTCTGCAAATTCTAATCTCAAAATTCCAGAACAGAAGAAAAACTGCGCACAAACCAAACTGCGCAACACTAAGCGCAAAGAGCATTTAATTTAGCTATGCAAATTACATCACGCATGTTTAATTAAGTACGTTCTCAACTTTAAAAAATGACTCAAATTTAAACTCATTACGCAACTAATCAGTTTATTTATTAATTAGTGCAATAAACATATCTGTGCAACATATAACATATAAGTGTATATACTATAACATATATATATATATATATATATACTGTGCAACATGCAACATATAAGTGCAATAAACATATCATACAGATACTTTTAGGAGCTAACTTGTCTTAATTCTATTTTTGTGTAAATGAGTTTAATACAAACTTGTCGCATATTCTGTCGGGGCCAAATAGCCTTCTAATTTTTATTTACTGCGGTTTAACAGGAAACAAAAATCAATCTAGTCTTAAATCCATTTTATTAGCTAAAAAATAATTAAAGAGTATTACTATACTATCACATTTATACTTGTATATATCACATTTTGTACTAAACATGTTTTAAATTGACTTTTGAGGTTGTTAACGTGACATAATCTCATGTTTGCAAACAAAGCTAACGGACCCGGTCATGTTAAGCCTTCTAAACTCTGATTATTTCTATATTGAATAGATGGCCTCTTTATTTCAATAATTTTTTGCAAACGGTAAAGTAATTTGCTGCCATTTACTAAATATTCTTTTTATTACTCAAAGTTTCGGTTTCGTCAATATTTTGACATCTCCGCTAATTAAGAGCCCCTCCCCTTTTTTTGTTTTAATGGTAACCATGTGAGTAGAGTTTTTTTTATTAAGAGTAATCTATTTATGATGAAGACCTTTTACCAAAATAATAAAGCGTAAAACAACGATTTACATATATAAGAATTTTTTCTTTCCTCAAAAGTGTTGCAATTGCAGACTAAACTAATCAACTTAATATTTGACAAACTGCAAGTCTCCCTGTGTTTTTAACAACGAATTATTAAAGCATAAGATAGGGAAAACATCGGAAAAAAATATATATATTAATGTCTTTATATCCTTTTAACAAACGAACAAAAATTTACAAATTTAGGAAATCAAGTTTTTTTTTTTTTAATATTGTATTAATACGTCATATGGTAAAATCTAAAATAAAAAAAAAGGAACGGAATTATAACATCATATATATATATATATATATATATATATATATATATATATATATATATATATATATATATATATACACCACATATAAACACTGAAAACCGATTTACCTGTTTTTGTAACCTTTTGATATTGCAATTAATATAAACATTTATAGAAAAAAGTAGCTATAAAATCTTTTTCGAAGTACTAAAGGATTAACAATACTAAAGGAAAAAAAAAATCAAATAAAGACATAAATTAAATTTTTAGCAAGATTTTGTCTTGGCTTTTAGTAAATGAATAAAAGCAGCAAGTTCCAATAATGAAACTATCTATTATTTATTTTTAACGATAGACACCAACGGGAAGGTAAGCCAAGCTGTCTATCAACACAAAACATCACAACAATATAACAATATTATACATTATAACAAAACATTACAACATTATAACAATAACACATAACATTAACACATATTCACACCTATATAACTAATATTTACACCCTTGACTCTAAAATCCAGTGGAAAATAACAAACCAATTTTAAAAGAATATGAAAGGCAAAACTAAAAAACCAATTTTGAGTTATCTACATTTATCCTTTTACTAAACTTTAATATAGTATATTTGCTTTTATATTCAATATTAGTTATTCAATTATTTTTAAATTTAAGGATCAAGGTTGCATACTCTTTTATACACATTACACAAAACATTACCAGACATTATGTGTTTCCAGAATAATTAAAAAAAGCTAGACAACACAACCTAGCTCTAAAGCAGTAACACCGCCTGGCACAAAATGGTGCCAAGTCACACCTCTGCTATAAGTACACCGCTTGGCTGGCAAGGTTAACAATCTTGCTTAACATTTTGCCAAGTCACACCACTTTGAAAACATGGAAACAACATAATGTAAACATATATACAACTATAAACAAATATGACTTCATATAACACATATAAACACAATATATAACAATATTAAATGACAAATATATTTATCAAAAACTATGAAAAAAATAAAAATATTAAAGTTACACATACAAAATGTGCTCACAACCTACAAACAGTAAATTTTAGAAATAAAAATATTAAGACTATAAATTAAGAACATTAGAAAATATAACATTATTTGTGTAGTATTTTTCACCTACCATACCTTGAATAGGATGTTTATCAATTTTGAAAAACAAACTATTAAATGCTCTAGTTCTTGAACATGCAACGTATAGTTGACTATGGGAGAAACACGGTTTTTTTAGATATACCCCAACTCTATCAAATGTTTGACCTTGACTTTCATTGATTGTCATCGAATAAGCTAATCTGACAGGAAACTGACGACGTTTTAGAACAAAAGGTAAATTAGAATCTGATGGAGCCAACTGAATTCGAGAAACAAATACCCGTTTACCTTCAGAAACACCTGTCAAAACCCTGCATCAATATAATTGTTTTGGAGAGCACAAACTTTCATTCGGGTTCCATTACATAGCCCAGCTTTAAGATCTAAATTTCTAAGTAGCATAATTACACAACCAATTTTCAATTTTAAACAATGAGTAGGCATACCTGAAGGAGTTAAGCTGTTCAAAAACTCAACAGGGAAATTATTTCTATCATTAAGATCGTCAGTGTCTATTTGATCAGCACTTAAATAAGTTTTGACCTCTCCATGTAGACGTTCAAGCACTTCTTCATTGATTGACAATGAATCCACATTGGTGGGTGTTAAAATGACACGTTTAGCATAATCATCTTGTTGAGCATCTCCAAATATTTTTTCAACAATTGATTCGTTTTCTCTAATAATGCACTGTTGCGTTATTTCAATACATCCCTTAACAGGATCTTCCTCCTTGCCAGGTATTGTTCCACTACCAAGTTTTAACAGCCATTCGGAAAAATCTCCTTCTCCATCACGTACTCTCATATTTTCAGTTAATGTAAACTTCTGCACCCATTGCCACTGTAAAGAACATTTTATACATGATTCTACAACTTCAGCTGGTCTCCCTCTTTTCACAACAGGCAAAATTTGCCTAAAGTCACCACCAAAAAGAATGACTTTTCCTCCAAATGGAAAGTTGTTGTTGCAAACATCTTTTAACAACCGATCGATTGCATTTAAAGCGTGTTTGGGAATCATGGATTTCTCGTCAAGCATAAACAAACTAACTTGCCTTAAAAATTGTCCCTGAATAGAGTTAGGAGTCACATTACATGTGCTGTTATTCAGTATTGGGACAGGAAGTTTAAATAACCCGTGCAGCGTAGATCCATTTGTAAGAAGAGTTGCTGCTATGCCAGTCCATGCAGCTGTAGCAGATTTAACACCCCTACTGCTCATTTCAGCAATCAAATAATTATATGTAAAAGTTTTGCCACTACTGGCTGGTCCATCCATAAAAAACAATCTGAAATGTTGATTTTCTACACATGGTTGCTCGTTCAATGCAGCAAGGACAGCATTACTTACATTTAATTGATTGACATTAAGAAGCGGTCTCATTCGATTAGCTTCGTCAATTGATTGCTGAACATTATCATTTAAATTTTCTTGATTAAAATCTATGAATTCATCAACAACAGGCAAATTATAATCAGATAGCGTTTTACCACTTTGATTAATAATCTTTTCGATTTGAAGAAGAGTAACTTGTTCAGCTAATATAAATGGAACTTGGCGATGAATGAAATCCTCCATCATAAAGGCTTTGTATGAATTCCAAAGATGCAAAGGGTCATCAGGTTCACAAAAAGTTAAAATAATTGAAAACAGCTGCCTGATTTGCTTAGGCATTCGCGTTAAAACTGCCTCAGAAAGAGTATTCTGCCATTTAGTGTCATCTTGCAACAAAACTTAAAAACACACGCTTCACGAAAGGTTTCAAGAACTATTCCATTAACAGTACACAAATCCTCCCAAGATTTGGCTCCTTTTGCTTGTAAAAGTAACAATATAAGAAAAAATAATTCTCCTGTTGGACTAACTTTATACATTCTTACTATCACCTTATTTCCACCTCTTTGTCTAACCTTCCATTTACAATGTTTATCATCAAATACAAAGTGATATGGAATGTCAACATATGAATAGCGATTGGCTCCTTCATTTTCAGAATTCAAATTAAACCAGGCCGTAAGGCGTGTATCACGTTGAGCAGCACGATCTAACGCCACTTGTTCCTCTCCTTCTCTAAAATACACAATCTGATTCTCAGGAAGATGAACCTTAAGACGGATAATAGAGTGTGACATATGACTTATGGGATACTCAAATATTCGCCACAGCGCCTCAGGTGCACTAACATAACGACAATCTAAGAAAGTGTTTATTTCATCGTGATTAACCTGTTCATTTATCAAAACATTCGCACAATCATGCCCTTTGTATATGTATTTACACAAATATTTAACAGCCTTCACAGACATGCAAGCTTCAACATTAATGTGGGCTTGATATTTCTTTGATAACCAAGGAATATAAGGTACCACCCAACGGTTATCTACATTGTTGCCTTTAATATTGATAACCAACCCATTATCACGACGCCTATAGCGCGGATAACCATTGTGAACAGCTACTGTGTTGGCATTAAAATCTTTAGGATATTTTTTGCTGCACACCCCATCTTTCATGCAGGGAGAATTTGGATTCAGTATCCCACATGGGCCGTGAATCATGCAAGTTTTGATAATATCATAAAGTTCACAATTAACTATCAGATCTGGAATTTCTGCACAAATCAAATTATCGATATCCTGTGATGTTTCAAGTTTATCATCATTTGCTAAATGAAGTAAAATGTGGGCATGCGGCAAACCACGCTTTTGAAACTCAATAACCTAAACATGCGTTACAACTTTGCCTAATACACCATGTTTGAATATATCATTGAGGAGGTTATTTAACTTGAGTTTAAATACTCGAGTAACCAAATCAGGTCTATCATTCGCATTCTGACCCGGATATAAATTTTCTGTTATTTCACACCATTTTGGGTTGCAAGAAAAAGTTATAAAAAGATCTGGTTTACCATACTTTTTAATAGTTGCCATAGCATCTTCAAAGTTTTCTTTTAAAGCTCTAGGACTTCCTACATAAGATGATGGCAAAACTACTACTCGTCCTGGTCTAATATTACGATCATTGGCAATGTTGTTAATATGTTCATGTAAGGCATCGTACTGCTCGCTTCTCAGCTTATTTTGATTATTTCTGATAAAAGCAAGACGCTGGCCTTCAATTTTTACATATGCATCTACAGCATATTGCTGAAATAGTTTCTTGCCATAAAATAACGAACAGAAAAATTGCCTAACAGAAAGTCTATAATTGTAGAACTGAGATAATGTAACATGATTTCTAATCAGTGTGGCATGCTCAGGGTTATGCACCAATTGATTATGCCAACCAGCATCACCTCTTGGAAAAAATAGCGGATAAACCATAGGATCCAAGTTGGCTGACATACTTGATACAATTTTTAAAGGATGACCTCTTGGGTAAATAACAACATCCCTGGAAGTTGTGGGAGCACCATCTTCGCCAACAAATACAACTGCAACTTCATTAGGTGAAGGTAGATTATAACGACGTCTATCACCGCCTTCAAGTAAAGACATTTTTACAACAGAAGCTGAGCGACCTTCTATAGCCGCCTTACGAATTTCTTCATCTTCTACTTCAGCCATGTTTTTAAATGCAAGAGCAAATGGACTTTGTTCCATAATTATAGTTTGCAATTGAAACATTAAATCACGTAAACAAAGATCACAAGCATAGTATTGCATTCTAAAATTTAGTGCAGCAAGTGGATCATAAATATATAGTTGAGAATATATTGGTGTAATATCTCGATCTGGCCTAAGATTACCTACACGATGAAAAATCTGGCCACATATTTTAAAACATGGAAGCCCATGATTCATTGGTTGAACTACATTTGCTGTAAAAGAAGCAAAAGAAAGGCAGGCATTATAATTTCGAATATGTTTTAAAAAATTAGCATAAGCATTACAATCTCCATAACTCCCTGTAAACAAATCCTGTAAAGCTTGTGTAATTAGTGAAAGTGGAGGCAAAGCTACCTTACCATTATGGCAACATAGAAGATGTGTTTCATCTGGAAATTTCTTAGCACCACAGTGATGACAAATTTGATTCATTTCTCCTAAATAATTATAATCTGGAATAGCATTACTTCTCGCTATAGAATACATTCGTCCTTGTCCAACAGCTCTTCTTTCATTTTGGCGACGATTAACATTATCTCGATCGAGCCTATTTCTTTCATTTTGGCGACGATTAACATTATCTCGATCGAGCCTATTTCTTTCATTTTGTAAACAATTAATTTCATCTCGCCTAAGTCTATTTCTTTCATTTTGTAAATAATTAATTTCATCTCGCCTAAGTCTATTTCTTTCATTTCGTCTACGATTATTTTCAACACGCCTTATAGCACTTACATCATCTTTTAAATACAAAACTACATCTAGCCTATCATCCATTTCAATGTCATCATTTTCATTAAACATATTTATCAAAGCAACACTAATTATTTCTTTTTTTTTTACTAATCTAAAGTTAACAATAAAATAAAAAAACTTAATAACTAAAAAAATCATACTCGAAAAATTAAAAAAAAAATTTTCAAAACAAATATATATAAAGAAACCAAACAAATGCAAAATAAAATTGATTTGCTCTCATCAAAAGTAATACAGGTTTCTCAAGTTTATTTGATAGAAGTTAAGAATAACCTGCAACCACATCAGCAAAAAATTATTAAAACTTATTTTATTTCTAATAAAAAAAAAAAAAAAATTGCGGCAGCGTCATAGTTCATGCGTTGGGAGAAAACATTGAACAAAACACGTAATAAAACTTATTAATGCATTATTAATGCATTATGTACGATAGAAAACAGGTTATTAACGCGGGTTTATAAATTTTTTTTTCCTAACACACTATTATGCTGTCGCAACTCCAAGGATATATATAATTATATATAGTTATTTATATATATATATATATATATATATATATATATATATATATATATATATATATATATATATATATATATATATATATATATATATATATATATATTTATATATACAGAACTATTTATTAGTGAAAACATATGAAAACCTAATACTGCTTAAAATTTTTGTTGTACTAAATAAACTATTTTACCAGTCAATTTAGTTCTAACTTAATCTAAAAAACGAAAAATAAATACATATTTAGATACCTTAAAATGAAGAATAACACAACACCCTTTTGACAAATTCCAGAAGAAATTTTTTTTATTTTTCTATTCTCAATTATTTTTGCTAAGAAAAAATACATATAGATATACATATATATATATATACATAGCAAACTAACAGTTATTTATATTTTTATTTTAAAAAACAAACAACATTAATTCTTCTTGAAAATAAATGTATCAGCTCCAATTTGATTGCTGATTTTACTCGAATGACCGCATGGAATATATAACTGCGCTTAGAAAATTCTAGAGGCAAAGAAATAGTATATTTTACATAATGCAGAACTGTAATTAACAAAACGAACAATAGGCGTAACAATGCACACTATTAATATTCATAGGCTATTCATTATAGGCGGATTATATATATATATATATATATATATATATATATATATATATATATATATATATATATATATATATATATATATATATATATATATATATATATATATATATATATATATATATATATATATATATATATGTATATATATATATATATATATATATATATATATATATATATATATATATATATATATATTATATATATTTTTTAAAGTATGAAAGTTTGCTGTATTTTTAACAAGATACTATTAAATTTAAAATGTTTTAGAGAAAGCCTGAATACAACTCATGGAGAGGCTGATAGGTAGGTTTTTTAATTAGGGCATTTTTATGTAGGTAATGTTATTGGGCAGCAGCTTTAAGGCTTACCTATTTTTTGTAAGTTATTGGCACAGGGTGGGAGGGGGTTATTTAGAAAATCATACTTTCAGTGCTTGGGTTTTTATTAAATTTTCTATTTTTCTTAACCTAATTTGAAAATTTGGGATCAATTAGTTTAACTTGATGGATCATGATCAAGATCCAAAAAAGTAGGATCTTGGACTAACAACTTCTCATACTTCATTTATTGAAATAACTATAAATATGTAAGTATAAAAAAAAGCTTTTTGGAAAATATGAAACTTCAGGATTACAAAGAAAAGCCAGAATTCAAAATTTAAGTTTTTGACCATTCATTCGTTTGACCGATTCGATCCATGGATTTGACTAATATGCTCAGATTAGGCATTTCAAATGAATTTTTTTGTTTCTTAAATTCGCCTAAATATTTGGAGCAAGTAGCTAAAATTTCAAGTGTTTTTACTTTTTACTTAGTCTTACTCTTTAAATAATTTAAAAATTTTGTCAGGGGGTAATAATCCCCCCCTCCCTTGTGTCTGCGATGGGTTAAGGGGCGGAACGGGTTTTAAAATTTTAATTAATAATTAATAACCTGATTTCTATTATTTTTTTTATATATCTTTATTTGTTATTATAGAACCACAGTTCCTGATACAATAATACGAAATCTCAAAAAGCAACTCGCAACAGTTTTTGCCAATTACTCGTGGACGTGCGTCAGACGAAGTCTTAATCAGAGCGGCCTAGATAGGAAGAAAAAACGAAAGTAATCAGCAATGCAATTGTGATTCTGTAATAATGATAATATGTGAAAAATTTTATTTCAAACTTTAACTTACCTATTATCAGTAATTAAAAAGAAGAATAGACATACTTTCCTTCCAGTCAAAATAAAAACCTAACTTCGTATGTTCTTTGTTTGGTTATTAGATTTATGATATTAATTATAAAATAATAAATGTTATGGCTCCTATCATTGGCGTATTAAGACTTTTCAGGGCCCGGAGTCCTTTTTAACGTACCACAGCATAAAAATGATTAAAACAGTAGAAAAAGAAAAAGGTCCGCCTAATAGTTTCAGAATCCCGAAATTTTAGGGCCCTAGCCCCCTCCTCTTTAAACTATCACTGGTTCCTATAGGAACCAGTGCTGGATTAAGGGGGAGGGCTACGGCCTACGTATATATACGAATCTAAAATTTTCCTTCAGCATCCTATAAGAATCCTGTTAATCCTGCAAGATCTTTTAAAATATTCTTGTAGACCTTATATTATCTTATAAGAATTCCTTCAAATCCTACAAGATCCTTCAAAAGATTCTTGTAGGTCCTGCAGGGACTTGTGCATCTCATCCTATAGGATTCTTGTAGGATTTGTAAGATCAGTCGTCTAGTGTAGTTGCAATGCGTGAAATTGGTATAGTACATAGTGTATTGGAAAAACTAATTTGCTTTTTAAACTTGCTACCTCCAATTCAAAAAACCGCATTTAATGATGTTCAAAATAAAATAATGCTGTCATATAAATATATTTGTAACACAATCAATGATGTTCAAAATAAAATGTTGCCGTCATATAAATATATTTGCAACGCAATCAACAATGTTCAAAATAAAATATTCCTGTCATATAAATATATTGCAACGCAATCAATGGTTAATGCAGCTCTTGAGTTTAAAATGAGACATGATACTGGAGTTTTAAATTTTACGGTTTTTTGTGACAGTACATGATAGAAACGAGGACATATAGGATAGATAGAAGCAGCAGGACTTGTCAAATGTTTTGATGCTTCTGCTTTAGAAAGAAAATTAAAGTACATAAGCTTTTTTGGAGAAGGTGACTCTTAAGCATTTTCAGACATTCAAAAACAGAATCCATATGATGGAAAAGAAATAATCAAGCTTGAATGTGTAGGTCATGTTCAAAAAAGCTTAAGAACAAGACTAAGAACGTTAAAAGCAACTAATAAAATCTTATTAAATGATGGTAACAAATTCTTCAAAACAAAGTCCTCAAACTAAAAATACTTGGTGCAAATACCAAGGAGAAAAAAAAACAAACTTATATTTATAAAAAAAACGCTGAACTGCCTATTATTATCAGTGACATAATTAAACCAGTATTCATAGATTTATCAGATAAAAGCTTGTTATAAAAGTGCCTTCATGGAAAAACTCAAAACAATAATGAAGCCTTGAATACAATAATCAACTACTATTAGTTTCAATAAAAGTTTAGCTAGTATGTTAAATACTTGTTTAGAGCTTGGCATAAATCCTGGAAAAAACTGTAATTCATTTTGCAATTATAGAGCTTCAAAAAATTTCAAAAAAATTTCAAAAAAACTGACTGATGAGGTAAAGCAAACTTGCGCAAAACGAAAAAGCTATAGTGATCAAGAGAAAAAACGTGAAATAATAACTTAGAAAGTTTTTAGTGGTTTTACTATATTTAAATTGATATAAATATTTGTTTTGAAAACTTTAACTTGGTTATCATAATTTTTACTTTTCTTAAAAAAAACTTTTTTTTAGTTGGAAACGTTTATGTTTTCCTTAACAAGGATACTAATTTTAACAAGGATTTCTCTTAACAAGGATACTAATTCTTTATGATTTTTAAAAAATTAGTTAAAACTCATTAT